TGATTGGTCAGAAGAAGTGAATGTTTTATTCTAAACCTTCTTTTGGAGGAACTGACTGAACTTGAACATGTACTTTATGTACTTTATGTACTTTTGTGTACTATATGTACTATATGTACTGCAGTATTTAATGGAGTAAGAACAGTACTGTCCCGGTAGTTGTTGTACCACAGCTGTAGTCACTTGTAGTACACTTGTAGTACTGGTGTAGTACACTTGTAGTACACTTGTAGTACAGTTGTAGTACTTGTAGTACAGTTGTAGTACACTTGTAGTACACTTGTAGTACAGTTGTAGTACACTTGTAGTACACTTGTAGTACACTTGTAGTACACTTGTAGTAGTAGTACAGTTGTTGTAGTACAGTTGTAGTACACTTGTAGTACACTTGTAGTACAGTTGTAGTACACTTGTAGTTGTAGTACACTTGTGTACACTTGTAGTACAGTTGTAGTACACTTGTAGTACACTTGTAGTACACTTGTAGTACACTTGTAGTACAGTTGTAGTACACTTGTAGTACACTTGTAAGTGTAGTACTTGTAGTACAGTTGTAGTACAGTTGTAGTACAGTTGTAGTACACTTGTAGTACACTTGTAGTACAGTTGTAGTACAGTTGTAGTACACTTGTAAGTACACTTGTAGTACACTTGTAGTACAGTTGTAGTACAGTTGTAGTACAGTTGTAGTACACTGTTGTAGTACACTTGTAGTACACTTGTAGTACACTTGTAGTACACTTGTAGTACTTGTAGTACTTGTAGTTGTAGTACACTTGTAGTACAGTTGTAGTACACTTGTAGTACACTTGTAGTACACTTGTAGTTGTAGTACACTTGTAGTACACTTGTAGTACACTTGTAGTACACTTGTAGTACACTTGTAGTACACTTGTAGTTGTAGTACACTTGTAGTACACTTGTAGTACACTTGTTGTACTGGTGCTGCTCCTGGAGGATTTGAACCAAACTTGTTTTTGTTCATTTGATGATTTATTTTACCAAACTGAACCTGAGACTTTAACCCAGGTTTTTCTGTTCTTCTGTTCTTCTGTTCTTCTGTTACTGTTCTACTGTTCTTCTGTTCTACTGTTCTACTGTTCTTCTGTTCTTCTGTTCTTCTGTTCTTCTGTTCTTCTGTTCTTCTGTTCTTCTGTTCTTCTGTTCTTCTGTTCTGTTGTTCTGTTGTTCTGTTGTTCTGTTGTTCTGTTGTTCTTCTGTCACACTCAGAGCTGGAGTTGTGTTTCTTTGAGCTCCAAAGCTCCAAACACTCTGTTCCACCTCGTGATGTCATCATGTGGTACGTTTCTCTTTAGTTCAGTCGAGGTCGATAAATAAACTCCAGGACTGAACTGATCCAGGTGATTCAGGTGAAGGTGTGTGGAGTTTAAAAACACAGTGGAGCACTTCCTGTATCACCACATGATGACATCACGAGGTGGAGCAGAGCGTTTTCAGTTTCAGTTTGAACTTTGTGGTGAGGAAACATCAGAACAGATCAGGAAAAATCTGGGCTCTTGAAATAAAAGTGACTAAACCTGAAGTGGGTCTGAGGAGAAAACTCGACTTTTCACTGAAATTACGTTTGGAAATTTATTTATTTATTTAAAAAAACAACTTGTGTTTTCTTCTAAAAGACAAATAGTGTAAAAGTCTTTTCTTTGGTGGACGTGAGGAGCGGCCACACGGGGGCAGTGCTGCGTCCGGTCCATCTCACACTGAGGTCACATTTTTTACACTTTGTAAAAATCACTGGAGTTTTAGTTTTTTTGTAAATGTTTGTGTGTAAAACGGAGTCGTCGAGGTGCATGGACAAACCAGACGCTCGCTTGGAGTTTTGCCGTGAAAAAGTTTGGAATCAAAGTTTTAATCATAAAATAAAATCTGACAAAACAGAACGACGAGTTTCATTTTTACACAAACTGTGACAAAGTTTAATCAGCGGAAAAACTGGTTTAATTCTGGTTTAGTCCTGGTTTAGTCCTGGTTTAGTTCTGGTTTAGACCTGGTTTAGTTCTGGTTTAGACCTGGTTTAGTTCTGGTTTAGTTCTGGTTTAGTTCTGGTTTAGTTCTGGTTTAGACCTGGTTTAGTTCTGGTTTAGTTCTGGTAGTTCTGGTTTCTTCATCAGATTAAACACAACTCAATGTTTCAGAGGTTTTATGCAGAAACAGAAACAGAGACAAGAGATCCTGAAGACTGAAGTCCTGAAGACCTGAAGACCTCCTGAAGACCTGAAGTCCTCCTGAAGACCTGAAGACCTCCTGAAGACCTGAAGTCCTCCTGAAGACCTGAAGTCCTCCTGAAGACCTGAAGTCCTCCTGAAGACCTGAAGACCTCCTGAAGTTCTGAGGGAGCAGGTGGTGGTGTGGTGATGTCACAGGGAGGAGGGGGCGGGGCTGAGGGAGGTTCTCTGTTCAAACACAGACGCGGGGTCAGAGGTCAGGGTCAGGGTTGGGGTCAGGGTGGGGTCAGGTTGGGTCAGGGGTCAGGGTTGGGGGTCAGGGTTGGGTCAGGGGTCAGGTTGGGGTCAGGGGGTCAGGGGTGGTGTATTCATGTTCTCTGGTTTTAAAGGAGATGTTTCTGCACACAGAGAGTTTTGACTCTTGGTTCTGTGGACACGAGCTCCAGCGTCTAAACCCACAGTGACGTCTGTCGATTCTCGCTGCTCCGACCAAATCAGCTCCTACATTTTTTGTGTTTACAGCCAAACCCTCAAGGCCTGTTCAGACTTCAGAAGAGTTTGGTTTCTTGCTCCCAGAGCTCGACCAACTAAATGTCGTCTTTTGTTGGTCCAGCTCCTGTTGTTCTTGTTCTTGTTCTCGACGCCTCAGCTGAACAAAACTTTGTTCTTCATTTCTTCAGTTCTGTTCCACGTCTTGGCTCTGATTGGTTCTTCATGTGTTTGTGGTTTATCTGTTTCCTCGTCGGTGAGGAGCAAAAAAAAAGGATGGTTTTGAGTCAGAGTTGGAGGAAACAGAGAGAAAATACAAACATGTGAAGGAGTCGACGCTCAGGGACCAAATGAACGACGCAGATTCAGAGAAAAGAGTTGAAATTGAAGAGAATGAAGAACCGACCGAGAACAAACAGCATCAAAACCTGCGTCTCTGATCCAAACAAACATGTGTCAAACTGGAGACGTCCAGCTGAAGGTCCATTCAGACTCAGAAGAACTTTGCTCTGGTTCTTGAGGTGAGAAGAACAAGAACAAAGTTGGTTTGGGCTTTGACATTTCAGACTTTGTTCTGCCTCGTTCCCTTTGGTCAAACTTGTCCTGGAGATTTACTCCAGACTTTTCTTCACTGATTTTGGTCGGAGTCTAAAATGTTCAGCTGAGGCGTCGAGAACAAGAAGAAGAAGTGAACGACAGGAGCTGGACCAAGAAGAGCTCCAGGTGCAAGAACAAAGTTCTTGTGTTCTTCTCAAGTCTGAATCGGCCCCGACCTTCACTCTGGAGCGACGACCTTCACGAGCAGAACACGTCTCCTTTAAACTGTCAAAGGTCAAAGGTGAAAGGTCAGACCTGCGTGTGATTGGTCAGAGCGTGTAGTGCGTGCTGCGCTCTGATTGGCTGGTGGAGGACAGGCGTCTCTGTCGCTGGAGCTTGTGCAGGACGCCGCAGAAGCGCGTCCTGAAGGAGGCGCTGTTAAAGCCGTACAGCAGCGGGTTCAGCACGCAGTGAAGAAGAGCCAGGGTCTGAGTGAGCGACAGCGCCATCTCCAGGCGATCCACGGACTGCAGGAGAACAAGAACAACGAGAACATGAGAAGAAGAGAACATGAAGAAGAACATGAAGAACATGAAGAAGAACATGAGGAACATGAAGAAGAACATGAAGAACATGAAGAAGAACATGAAGAAGAACATGAGGAACATGAAGAACATAAAGAACATGAAGAAGAACATGAAGAAGAACATGAGGAACATGAAGAACATGAAGAAGAACATGAAGAACATGAAGAAGAACATGAAGAACATGAAGAAGAACATGAAGAACATGAGGAACATGAAGAAGAACATGAAGAACATGAAGAAGAACATGAAAGAACATGAAGAACATGAAGAAGAACATGAAGAACATGAAGAAGAACATGAGGAACATGAAGAAAAACATGAAGAACATGAAGAGGAACATGAAGAACATGAAGAAGAACATGAAGAACATGAAGAAGAACATGAAGAACATGAAGAAGAACATGAGGAACATGAAGAAGAACATGAAGAACATGAAGAAGAACATGAGGAACATGAAGAAGAACATGAAGAAGAACATGAAGAAGAACATGAGGAACATGAAGAACATGAAGAACATGAAGAAGAACATGAAGAACATGAAGAACATGAAGAACATGAGGAACATGAAGAACAAGAAGAACATGAAGAACATGAAGAAGAACATGAGAACATGAAGAACATGAAGAACATGAAGAACATGAAGAACATGAACATGAAGAACATGAAGAAGAACATGAAGAACATGAAGAAGAACATGAAGAACATGAAGAAGAACATGAAGAACATGAAGAAGAACATGAAGAACATGAGGAACATGAAGAAGAACATGAAGAACATGAAGAAGAAGCATGAAAGAACATGAGGAACATGAAGAAGAACATGAGGAACATGAAGAAGAACATGAGGAACATGAAGAAGAACATGAGGAACATGAAGAACATGAAGAACATGAAGAACATAAAGAACATGAAGAAGAACATGAGGAACATGAAGAAAACATGAAGAACATGAAGAAGAACATGAGGAACATGAAGAAGAACATGAAGAACATGAAGAAGAACATGAAGAACATGAAGAAGAACATGAGGAACATGAAGAAGAACATGAAGAACATGAAGAAGAACATGAGGAACATGAAGAAGAACATGAAGAACATGAAGAACATGAAGAAGAACATGAGGAACATGAAGAAGAACATGAAGAACATGAAGAAGAGCATGAGAAAGAACATGAGGAACATGAAGAAGAACATGAGGAACATGAAGAAGAACATGAGGAACATGAAGAAGAACATGAAGAAGAACATGAAGAACATGAAGAAGAACATGAAGAACATGAAGAAGAACATGAGGAACATGAAGAAAAACATGAAGAACATGAAGAAGAACATGAGGAACATGAAGAAAAACATGAAGAAGAACATGAAGAAGAACATGAAGAACATGAAGAAGAACATGAGGAACATGAAGAAGAGCATGAAGAAGAACATGAAGAACATGAAGAAGAACATGAGGAACATGAAGAAGAACATGAAGAAGAACATGAAGAACATGAAGAAGAACATGAGGAACATGAAGAAAAACATGAAGAACATGAAGAAGAACATGAGGAACATGAAGAAAAACATGAAGAACATGAAGAAGAACATGAAGAACATGAAGAAGAACATGAGGAACATGAAGAAGAGCATGAAGAAGAACATGAAGAACATGAAGAAGAACATGAGAACATGAAGAAGAACATGAAGAAGAACATGAAGAACATGAAGAACATGAGGAACATGAAGAACATGAAGAACATGAGGAACATGAAGAAGAACATGAGGAACATGAAGAACATGAAGAAGAACATGAAGAACATGAAGAAGAACATGAAGAACATGAAGAAGAACATGAAGAACATGAAGAAGAACATGAAGAACATGAGGAACATGAAGAAGAACATGAAGAACATGAAGAACATGAAGAACATGAAGAACATAAAGAAGAACATGAGAACATGAAGAAGAACATGAAGAACATGAAGAAGAACATGAAGAACATGAAGAAGAACATGAAGAACATAAAGAAGAACATGAGAAAGAACATGAAGAACATGAAGAAGAACATGAAGAACATGAAGAAGAACATGAGGAACATGAGAAGAACATGAAGAAAGAAGAACATGAACATGAAGAACATGAAGAAGAAGAACATGAAGAACATGAAAGAAGAAGAAGAACATGAAGAAGAAGAACATGAAGAAGAACATGAAGAACATGAAGAAGAACATGAAGAACATGAAGAAGAACATGAAGAAGAACATGAAGAACATGAAGAAGAACATGAAGAACATGAAGAAGAACATGAAGAAGAAAATGAGGAACATGAAGAAGAACATGCGGAAGAACATGAAGAAGAACATGAAGAAGAACATGAAGAACATGAAGAAGAACATGAAGAAGAACAACAAGAACATGAAGAAGAACATGAAGAAGAACATGAAGAACATGAGGAACATGAAGAAGAACATGAGGAAGAACATGAACAAGAACATGAAGAAGAACATGAACAGTGTCTTAAAGCTCCTGCAGCACAGACTGAGCTGGAAAACTTCAGCCACGTTCTAAAGTTCTACTGTTCTACTGTTCTAAAGTTCTACTGTTCTAAAGTTCTACTGTTCTGTGTTCTTCTGTCCCTGGTTCCACTCAGAGCTGGACTTGTGTTTGTTTGAGTGACTCTTTATCATGAGTCTGTTACATCTGCAAAGCTCCAAACACTCTGTTCCACCTTGTGATGTCATGAAGCAGAGGTGGGACCAAGTCATTGTTTTGCAAGTCTCACGTCCAAGTCAAGTCCAAGTCAAGTCCAAGTCAAGTCCAAATCAAGTCCAAGTCAAGTCCAAGTCTAGTCCAAGTCAAGTCCAAATCAAGTCCAAGTCAAGTCCAAGTCTAGTCCAAGTCTAGTCCAAGTCAAGTCCAAGTCAAGTCCAAATCAAGTCCAAGTCAAGTCCAAGTCTAGTCCAAGTCTAGTCCAAGTCAAGTCCAAGTCTAGTCCAAGTCTAGTCCAAGTCGTCTGCTTTGAGCTTCAAGTCATTTCAAGTCTTTAAACCAAAAAAGTACCAAATATAGCTCAGATTTTTACAACTTATATGAATTTTAAACTAAATTGTTCTTAAGAAGTCACAGTTTTTATATTTATGTGTTTATATAAGTTGTAGAAATTCAATTTTTTCCTTTTTTATTAAGATTTAAAAGTGTCTCATCACGTTCACTTAAAGTCCAAGTTGAGTCTCTGCAGCTTCACAGTGAGAGACGCTCTGCTCATGATCCCACTGATGTGGACCACAACACCAGGACCACAACACCAGGACCACAACACCAGGACCACAACACCACCAGGACCACAACACCAGGACCACAACACCACCAGGACCACACCACCACCAGGACCACAACACCAGGACCACAACACCAGGACCACAACACCACCAGGACCACAACACCAGGACCACATCACCACCAGGACCACACCACCAGGACACAACACACACCAGGACCACAACACACAGGACCACAACACCACCAGGACCACAACACCACCAGGACCACATCACCACCAGGACCACATCACCACCAGGACCACACCACCACCAGGACCACAACACCACCAGGACCACACCACCACCAGGACCACAACACCACCAGGACCACAACACCACCACACCACCAGGACCACAACACCAGGACCACACACCACCAGGACCACACCACCAGGACCACAACACCACCAGGACCACAACACCACCAGACCACAACACCACCAGGACCACAACACCACCAGGACCACAACACACCAGGACCACAACCACCAGGACCACAACACCACAGGACCACACCACCAGGACACACACACCAGGACCACACCACCAGGACCACAACACCAGGACCACAACCACCAGGACCACACCACCAGGACCACAACACCACCAGGACCACAACACCAGGACCACAACACCACCAGGACCACAACACCACCAGGACCACACACCACCAGGACCACAACACCACCAGGACCACAACACCAGGACCACAACACCACCAGGACCACAACACCACCAGGACCACAACACCAGGACCACAACACCACCAGGACCACAACACCACCAGGACCACAACACCAGGACCACAACACCACAGGAGCACAACACCAGGACCACAACACCACCAGGACCACACACCACCAGACCACCACCACCAGGACCACAACACCACCAGGACACAACACCACCAGGACCACACACCACCAGGACCACAACAACCACCAGGACCACACACCACCACCACCAGGACCACAACACCAGGACCACACACACCAGGACCACAACACCACCAGGACCACACACCACCAGGACACCACAGGACCACCACCAGGACCACAACACCACCAGGACCACAACCACCACCACCAGGACCACCACCACCACCAGGACCACCAACACCACCAGGACCACAACACCACCAGGACCACAACACCACCAGGACCACAACACCACCAGGACCACCACCACCACCAGGACCACAACACACCAGGACCACCACCACACCACCAGGACCACACCACCACCAGGACCACAACACCACCAGGACCACAGGACCACAACACCAGGACCACAACACCAGGACACACACCACCACCACACCAGGACCCAACACCACCAGGACCACAACCACCACCAGGACCACAACACCACCAGGACCACAACACCACCAGGACCACACCACCAGGACCACAACACCAGGACCACAACACCACCAGGGCACACCACCAGGACCACCACCACCAGGACACCACCAGGACCACAACACCACCAGGACCACAACACCACCAGGACCACAACACCAGGACCACAACACCACCAGGACCACAACCACCAGGACCACACACACACCAGGACCACAACACCACCAGGACCCACCACAGGACCACAACACCAACCACCAGGACACAACCACCAGGACCACAACACCAGGACCCACACCACCAGGACCACACCACCACCAGGACCACAACACCACCAGGACCACAACACACCACCAGGACCACAACACCACCAGGACCACCAGGACCACACACCACACCACCAGGACCACACCACCACACCACCCAGGACCACAACACCACCAGGACCACAACACACCAGGACCACCACACCACACCACCAGGACACACACACACCAGGACCACACACCACAGGACACCACCACCAGGACCACAACACCAGGACACACACCACAGGACCACACACCACCAGGACCACAACACCACCAGGACCACACCACCACCAGGACCACAACCCACCACACACACCAGGACACAAACCAGGACCACAACACCACCAGGACCACACACACCAGGACCACAACACCACCAGGACCACAACACACCAGGACCACAACACCACCAGGACCACACACACCACCACCACCAGGACCACAACACCACAGGACCACACACCAGGACACACACCAGGACCACAACACCACCAGGACCACACCACCACCAGGACCACAACACCACCAGGACCACAACACCAGGACCAACCAACACCACCAGGACCACACCACCACCAGGACCACACCACAACACCAGGACCACAACACCACCAGGACCACAACACCAGGACCACAACACCAGGACCACAACACCACCAGGACCACAACACCACCAGGACCACAACACCAGGACCACAACACCACCAGGACCACAACACCACCAGACCACCACCAGACCACCACCAGGACCACACACCACCAGGACCCACACCACCAGGACCACAACACCACCACAACACCAGGACACCACCACCACCACCAGGACCACAACACCAGGACCACAACACCACCAGGACCAGGACCACAACACCAGGACCACCACCAACCACCAGGACCACAAACCACCAGGACCACCACACACCACCAGGACCACCACCAGGACCACAACACCAGGACCACAACACCACCAGGACCACCACAACCACCACCAGGACCACCACAGACCACCACCAGGACCACAACACCAGGACCACAACACCACCAGGACCACAACACCACCAGGACCACAACACCACCAGGACCACACCACCACCAGGACCACCACCAGGACCACACCACCACCAGGACCACAACACCAGGACACACACACCAGGACCACCACCACCACAACACCAGGACCACAACACCACCAGGACCACACACCACCAGGACCACAACACCACCAGGACCACACCACCACCAGGACCACACCACCACCAGGACCACACCACCACCAGGACCACACACCACCAGGACCACAACACCACCAGGACCACAACACCACCAGGACCACAACACCACACCACCAGGGACCACACCAGGACCACAACACCACCAGGACCCACACCACCAGGGACCACAACACCAGGACCACACACACCAGGACAACACCAGGACCACCACCAGGACCACACACCACCAGGACCACATCACCACCAGGACCACAACACCACCACACACACCACCAGGACCACACCACCACCAGGACCACACCACCAGGACCCCAACACCAGGACCACAACACCACCAGGAGCACAACACCAGGACCACAACACCAGGACCGCAACACCACCAGGACCGCAACACCACCAGGACCACAACACCACCAGGACCACACCACCACCAGGACCACAACACCACCAGGACCACATCACCACCAGGACCACACCACCACCAGGACCACACCACCACCAGGACCACAACACCAGGACCACCACCACCAACACCACCAGGACAACACCACCAGACCACACCACACACCAGGACCACCACCACCAGGACACCACAACCACCACCAGGACCACAACACCAGGACCACACACCACCAGGACCACACCACCACCACCACCACCAGGACCACAACCACCACCAGGACCACCACCACACCACCACCAGGACCACAACACCAGGACCACAACACCAGCAGGACCACACCACCACCAGAACCACAACACCACCAGGACCACAACACCAGAACCACAACACCAGAACCACAACAACACCAGAACCACAACACCAGAACCACAACAACACCAGGACCACATCAGTGGGACGGTGAGCAGAGCGTCTCTCCCTGTGAAGCTGCAGAAACATGGGCATAGGCATATTGCCTATTATATCTAAAATAATTGAAAAATTGGTCACTAAACAATGAATTGATCACTTAAATATGGGTTACACCCCACTGCAGGCTGTGCAGTTTGGTTTCCGTGCAAATTATTCAACTGAAACGGCTATAAATTTTTTTCTTAAAAAAGTTAAATTTTCTTTCGATGCTAACCCTTTTGTTGGTACATTCTCCTTTTGATACGGTTGACCACCAAAAATGATTAACTAGGTTAACAAAATTTAATCTCTCTGAGCAGGCTGTAATTTGGATAAAATCAAACTTGGCAAATCGAACCCATTGTGTGTCCGTCAGCCGTATCAAATCCCCATATGTCGATTGCAAGGCTGGAGTACCACAAGGCTCCATACTTGGACCAATTTTATTTTCATTATACATTAATGATCTGCTGAATGTTTGTACGGACCTTAACATTGTGCTGTCTGCTGATGATGCCGTCATTTTTACAAAAGCAAAATCTGTCATAGAAACTTCAGAGAAGTTCACATCAGCGAGAATCACCTGTGGAGACAAGTGTCTGACCAAGTCCAGTCTCTTACTGACACTAAAATAACCATCAAAGTCTTGTTTAAATGTGTTGCTGAGGGGTGAGGGACTCCAGTTTGTAGATGAATTTAAGTATCTTGGTGTTACCTTGGACTCCACTTTAACTTTTAAAAAACATATCAAAAATTGTTCATTTTAATATTCACAATTTTAGGCAAATTATGGCATCATCGCCAGAAAATGCAGCTAAAATGTTTCTCCACAGCAGGATTCTCTCTCATATTGAACCTGCATCACTGACTGTTCACTGACAAACACGACAACCTTCAAAATAATAGAATCACTTTTTTTAAAAAGCATTAAAGATGTTTGAGAGGAAATCTTTATCGTTTCATCATTGTCTCATACTACAGAAGTATAATCTCTCTGTCTGCTCAGTCTACAAAGGCTTAACTGGACTCGCTCCAGCAGCTCTGGGTGAGTTCATGAAGACCAAGTCCAGCTCTAGTGGTCGAGGAACAAGAACCTCGACCAGAGACGACTGTGCAAAACCCTAGAGACGCACAACTCTCAGTCAACAGGTGTTTTCAGTCAAAGGAAACAGAAATCTGGAACAACATCTGAGCTGCAAGAAAAGACTCCACCACATTCAGAACATTTAAAACTAATCTGAAACGAAGAGAAACCAGATCTGTGACACTAATGTTCTGCTCCTGTGTGAATGTCACTGTTGTGTGTCATGTTTGTGTGTTTGTCTGTTGTGACGCGTTTTATGTTTTATATTTAATGTTTTATATTTTATGTTTTATGTCTGTGTCTCTGAGCTGCAGGACGACAGATGAAAAGAACCTTCGGGTTAATTCTGGTGTATTTACAAGTTGATGTTCATGAATATGTATTGTCCCTTTTAAATAAATAAAACTAAAAACCAAAAAAAAAACATAAATCAGGAGTCACAGTGTTTCACTTCTCACCTCACAGTCGCTGGGTTTGAACTTCTGCAGCGTGTGGATCAGCAGCACAACGTTGAAGGGGGCGTGGCATAAGATGAACACCAGCGCCACCATCAGGACCAGGCGGACGCTGTCTCCTGAAGCTCCGCCCCTTGGTGCTTTCTCCTGAAGAGGAACGGCGAGCTCTCTCCTGAAGCCCCGCCCCTTGCCGCTCAGGCCCCGCCCCTTCAGCAGCGTCACCGCGATGAATAAGCCCATGACGATGAGCGGAACCACAAACCCCAACGTGATCTGCAGCACCGAAAACATAACCGAGTACGAACTCATGATGTCAGGCAGCCGCAGGTCGCACACCATGGGGGCGGGGCCAGAGTAGTAGGAGGGCTGAGGAGAGAGAACACACATCATCAGAGGGGGAGGAGTCAGAGGGGGAGGGGTCAGAGGGGGAGGAGTCAGAGGGGGAGGAGTCAGAGGGGGAGGGGTTAGAGGTGGAACAAACTTTACTTCAGCAGATCTCACCTGGTCCGAGGTCTGGTTCAGAGCCTCCAGCTCCATCACCTCGTGGTGCTTGGGCACGTAGCTCTCGTAGAAGATGAAGTTGGGCAGACTGAGCAGTACTGCACAGAACCACACGAGGGCGCACACGAGGTGGCGTGGCGCCTGTGAGCTCGCACTGAGCCGTCTGCGCGCGTGCACGACGGCCGCGTATCGGTCCGCGCTCACCGCCGCCAGCAGCAGGGCGGCGCCGTAGAAACTCATGCTGTACCCGCCCCTCAACATCTTACACCCCGCCCCCCCGTCTGACCACCCCCCCAGTTCCATCACCACCAAACCCGGCAAGACCAGGACTATAACCAGATCTGCCAGGGCCAAGTGCAGGAGCAGCACCTGCAAGACAAAAGACAGGAGCAGTGAGGACCAGACTAGACCAGAGGCAGATCCACACCTGAGTCCGGTTCCACTCAAAGTCCGGACTTCAGGTGTGAATAAAGACGAGATCTGATCCGGAACAAACGGACCCAGAACCACAAAGGGAACGAGCACGAGCAGAAATGACAGACATGCACACATGGAGGGTGGGGTACCTGGGTGATGGAGGGTGGGGTACCTGGGGTGAGGGTGATGGGGACCTGGGGATGGGGGTGATGGGGGTGGGGTACCTGGGTGATGGAGGGTGGGGTACCTGGGTGATGGAGGGTGGGGTACCTGGGTGATGGAGGGTGGGGTACCTGGGTGATGGGGTGGGGTACCTGGGGTGATGGAGGGTGGGTACCTGGGGTGATGGGGGGTTTGGGTACCTGGGTGATGGAGGGTGATGGGGGGTGGGGTATCTGGGTGATGGAGGGTGGGGTACCTGGGTGATGGGGGGTGGGGTACCTGGGTGATGGAGGGTTTGGGGGCGCAGTACAGGGGGACGAGCATGAGGCAGTTCCCGATCAGACCCAGGACACAGATCACAGAGTGGACGTACGGACCCAGGACCAGGACCAGGCTCCGGTTCTGGACGGTGTCACACAAACCCTCCCACGTGCCGTTGTAATAGTCTGAGTAGTCCACTTCCTCCCCGTAGTCCTCCAGAGGGTCCAGAGAGTCCAGAGGGTCCAGAGTCTGGTTCAGGAACAAGGCCAGGTCCAGGGAGGACATCTGAGGATCACAGACAACAAGGACTGAACCAGGACTGAACCAGGACTGACTAAACCAGGTCTGAAACAGGACTAAACCAGGACTAAACCAGGTCTGAAACAGGACTAAACCAGGACTAAACCAGGTCTGAAACAGGACTAAACCAGGACTAAACCAGTTCTAAACCAGGACTGAAACAGGACTAAACCAGGATTAAACTAGGACTAAACCAAAACTGAAACAGTTCTGAATCAGGACTAAATCAGGATTGAACCAGGACTGAAGGCTGGTCTAAATCCAGTCTAGACTAGATCTGGTTCAGACTTGGTTCAGTCCTGCTTTAGACCTGGTTTAGTCCTGGTTTTAGTCCTGGTTCAGTCCTGGTTCAGAGCAGAGTAAAAGAGGAGCTCACCTTGTGGCGTTCAGGAGTCGAGTGAAGCTGTAGACGTTTGTTTCCTCTCACACCCACACGGTGACATCACAAATACACGACTGATTCACAAGATTTTAAACATGAACAAATCAAATGTACAACTGAAAACTACAAATGTACAAGTATAAAACTACAAATGTACAACAGTAAAACTACAAATGTACAAGTGTAAAACTACAAATGTACAAGTGTAAAACTACAAATGTACAAGTGTAAAACTACAAATGTAAAACTACAAATGTACAAGTGTAAAACTACAAATGTACAAGTGTAAAACTACAAATGTACAACTGAAAAACTACAAATGTACAAGTGTAAAACTACAAATGTACAAGTGTAAAACTACAAATGTACAAGTGTAAAACTACAAATGTACAACTGAAAAACTACAAATGTACAACTGTAAAACTACAAATGTACAAGTAAAACTACAAATGTACAAGTGTAAAACTACAAATGTACTACAAAATGTACAAGTGTAAAACTACAAATGTACTACAAAACTACAAAGTGTAAAACTACAAATGTACAAACTGTAAAACTACAAATGTAAACTACAAATGTACAAGTGTAAAACTACAAATGTACAAGTGTAAAACTACAAATGTACAAGTGTAAAACTACAAATGTACAAGTGTAAAACTACAAATGTACAAGTGAAAAACTACAAATGTACAACAGTAAAACTACAAATGTACAACTGAAAACTACAAATGTAAAACTACAAATGTACAAGTGTAAAACTACAAATGTACAACTGTAAAACTACAAATGTACAAATGTACAAGTGTAAAACTACAAATGTACAAGTGTAAAACTACAAATGTACAAACAATGTACAAGTTAAAACTACAAATGTACAAGTATAAAACTACAAATGTACAAATGTACAAGTGTAAAACTACAAATGTACAAGTGTAAAACTACAAGTGTAAACTACAAATGTACAAGTGTAAAACTACAAATGTACAAGTGTAAAACTACAAATGAACTACAAATGTAAAAAACTACAATGTACAAACTGAAAAAACTACAAATGTACAAGTGTAAAAACTACAAAATGTACAAATGTAAAAACTACAAATGTACAAGTGTAAAACTACAAATGTACAAGTGTAAAACTACAAATGTACAACTGTAAAACTACAAATGTACAAGTGTAAAACTACAAATGTACAAAGTGTAAAAACTACAAATGTACAACTGAAAAAACTACAAATGTACAAGTGTAAAACTACAAATGTAAAAGTGTAAAAAACTACAAATGTACAAGTGTACAAGTGTAAAACTACAAATGTACAACTGAAAAACTACAAATGTACAAGTGTAAAACTACAAATGTACAAGTGTAAAACTACAAATGTACAAGTGTAAAACTACAAATGTACAAGTGTAAAACTACAAATGTACAACTGAAAAACTACAAATGTACAACTGAAAAACTGCAAATGTAAAAGTGTAAAACTACAAATGTAAAAGTGTAAAACTACAAATGTCCAAGTGTAAAACTACAAATGTACAAGTGTAAAACTACAAATGTACAACTGAAAACTACAAATGTCCAAGTGTAAAACTACAAATGTCCAAGTGTAAAACTACAAATGTACAACTGAAAAACTACAAATGTACAACTGAAAAACTACAAATGTACAACTGAAAACTACACCTTTACAACTGATTGGCATAAAAATTCAGCATAATCCTTTTCCTTATCGTCTGATTTGCTTAGTTTTCAGTTTTAAAATGCAGAACAACTATTTTTTGTAAACTCCAAAGCCTGAGGAGGTCACGTGGCTGTTTTCCTGGAGACTGTTCGAGTTCCCTGTGGCTCCCTGTGGCTCCCTGTGGCTCCCTGTGGCTCCCTTTGGCTCCCTGTGCTCAAAGTCCAAGTCAAGATAATATTTTATGTTTCAAAGACAAATTTATTGGGTCCAGAGTCTGATTCAGGGACAAGACCAGGTCCATCTGAGGATCACAGCCAAACAAAGGACTACACCAGGAACCAAGACTGAACCAGAACTAAACCTGGACTAAACCGGGATCTTTATCTTTCAAAGGCATATTTATTGAATCTTTGATAACAAAAAACATTTAACCACGTGTAAAGATCTGTCAGTGTCGTGTTTCATAATGATCATTAAACGCTGCACAGAAGCGACGCTAAAAAACAAATCGTCGACGTCAAAAAGACAGAAGTGTGAAGTGTGAAGTGTGAAGTGTGAAGTGTGAAGTGTGTGAAGTGTGAAGTGTGCTGCGGTGAGAAACGTGACAGGAGACAGTGAGCACAGAAGTGATTCTCCAGCGTCAGGTTTTCAACTTGTGATTCTGGAAAAACAGAAATATTTGGTGAACTTCAGCGTCTAAGAAAGAAAGTAAAAATGACTAAACCAGGATTTTAATACAGTTAAGGAAAATCTGGACTTTTTATTTTCTTTTATCAGACAAAACTTCTTATGTGAAGATTTCCTCGTCTTTGTTTCTCTACAACAAATCAAGTAATCCAAAGTAATCAGATTACATTACTCACTTTAAGTAATTTAATGGATTCTGTTACAAACTACATTTTGGGGAGTGTAATCTGTAATCTGTAGGGGATTACATTTTAAAAGTAAACTTCCCAACACTGTTTATTTATTCCTACACACACACACACACACACACAGACACACACACACAGACACACACACACACACACACACACACACACAGCACACACACACACACACACACAGACACACACACACACACACACACACACACAGACACACACACACACACACACAGACACACACACACACACAGACACACACACACACACACACACACACACACACACAGACACACACAGACACACACACACACACACACACACAGACACACACACACACACACACACACACACACACACAGACACACACACACACACACACACACAGCACACACACACACACACAGACACACACACACACACACAGACACACACACACAGACACACACACACACACACACACAGACACAGCACACACACACACAGCACACACACACACACACACACACACACACACACACACACACACACAGCACACACACACACACACACACAGCACACACACACACACACACACAGCACACACACACACACACACACACACACACACACACACACACACACACAGACACACACACACACACACACACAGACACACACACACACAGCCCTCCCCTCGCAGAACGGCCTGTGCCACAGTCTGAGAGCGAAAGAAACGAAAGTAAAACAAATATCACATTTTCAAAACAACAAACGGTCCTGAGGCGCAGTGGGGGCGGGGCTAGAGGCGGGGTTGTGCAGTGGGGGCGGGGGCTGGGCTGTGCGGGGGGCGGGGCTAGGGGGCGGGTTCATCTTGTCACTGGGCTCTTGATGGAAACTTCCTCAGTCTCCTCCCCGACGCTCAGCTCACTGTGAGAAGAAAAAACTACAAACAAGAAAAACTACAAACAAAAAACACATTTGTGCGTCAGACGGAGTCAGGAAAAGTGCTGCGTCTGCTGCGCTCTGCCCTCTGCTGGTCGATCCGTGGAGCTGCGTTCACATTTATTTGTGAATCTCGTCGTGTTGGAGAAACGTCTCAAAACGACGTCACGGAGAGAAAAAACAAAACGAGGATCCACAAAAGCAGATTCCACAAACAAAGTCAAGCAGATTTATTTTCACATTTCCAAAATATATTTACAAATGCACATTTATTCATACAAATTCGTTTATTTATTTGTTTGCATGTCGTTTTTGGTTTCTATAAATCTTTGAGAGAAAAGAAGAGATGAAAAATTTTAATCATAAAATAAAATCTGACAAAATAGAAATTTAAAAGTTTGATTTTTACACAATCTGTGACCATTTTTAATCGGCGGAAGAACTGGTTTAGTCCTGGTTTAGTCCTGGTTTAGTCCTGGTTTAGTTCTGGTTTAGTTCTGGTTTAGTGCTGGTTTAGACCTGGTTTAGTTCTGGTTTAGTTTAGTCCTGGTTTAGTCCTGGTTTAGTTCTGGTTTAGTCCTGGTTTAGACCTGGTTTAGTTCTGATTTAGATCTGATTTCTTTATCAGATTAAACACAACTCAATGTTTCATGGAGGTTTTAAGGAGAAACAGAGACAGGAGATCCTGAAGACCTCCTGAAGACCTGAAGTCCTGAAGTCCTCCTGAAGTCCTGAAGACCTCCTGAAGTTCTGAGGGAGCAGGTGGTGGTGTGGTGATGTCACAGGGAGGAGGGGGCGGGGCTAAGGGAGGTTCTCTGTTCAAACACAGACGCGGGTCAGAGGTCAGGGTTGGGGTCAGGGTTGGGGTCAGGGTTGGGTCAGGGTTGGGGTCAGGGTTGGGGTCAGGGTTGGGGTCAGAGGTCAGGGTTGGGGTCAGGGTTGGGGTCAGGGTCAGGGTTGGGGTCAGGGGTCAGGGGTGGTGTATTCATGTTCTCTGGTTTTAAAGGAGATGTTTCTGCACACAGAGAGTTTTGACTCTTGGTTCTGTGGACACGAGCTCCAGCGTCTAAACCCACAGTGACGTCTGTCGATTCTCGCTGCTCCGACCAAATCAGCTCCTACATTTTTGTGTTTACAGCCAAACCCTCAAGGCCTGTTCAGACTTCAGAAGAGTTTGGTTCTTGCTCCCAGAGCTCGACCAACTAAATGTCGTCTTTTGTTGCTCCAGCTCCTGTTGTTCTTGTTCTTGTTCTCGACGCCTCAGCTGAACAAAACTTTGTTCTTCATTTCTTCAGTTCTGTTCCACGTCTTGGCTCTGATTGGTTCTTCATGTGTTTGTGGTTTATCTGTTTCCTCGTCGGTGCGGAACAAAAAAAAAAGGATGGTTTTGAGTCAGAGTTGGAGGAAACGGAGAGAAAATACAAACATGTGAAGGAGTCGACGCTCAGGGACCAAATGAACGACGCAGATTCAGAGAAAAGAGTTGAAATTGAAGAGAATGAAGAACCGAGAACAAACAGCATCAAACCTGCGTCTCTGATCCAAACAAACATGTGTCAAACTGGAGACGTCCAGCTGAAGGTCCATTCAGACTCAGAAGAACTTTGCTCTGGTTCTTGAGGTGAGAAGAACAAGAACAAAGTTGGTTTGGGCTTTGACATTTCAGACTTTGTTCTGCCTCGTTCCCTTTGGTCAAACTTGTCCTGGAGATTTACTCCAGACTTTTCTTCACTGATTTTGGTCGGAGTCTAAAATGTTCAGCTGAGGCGTCGAGAACAAGAAGAAGAAGTGAACGACAGGAGCTGGACCAAGAAGAGCTCCAGGTGCAAGAACAAAGTTCTTGTGTTCTTCTCAAGTCTGAATCGGCCCCGACCTTCACTCTGGAGCGACGACCTTCACGAGCAGAACACGTCTCCTTTAAACTGTCAAAGGTCAAAGGTGAAAGGTCAGACCTGCGTGTGATTGGTCAGAGCGTGTAGTGTGCGTGCTGCGCTCTGATTGGCTGGTGGAGGACAGGCGTCTCTGTCGCTGGAGCTTGTGCAGGACGCCGCAGAAGCGCGTCCTGAAGGAGGCGCTGTTAAAGCCGTACAGCAGCGGGTTCAGCACGCAGTGAAGAAGAGCCAGGGTCTGAGTGAGCGACAGCGCCATCTCCAGGCGATCCACGGACTGCAGGAGAACAAGAACAACGAGAACATGAAGAAGAACATGAGGAACATGAAGAAGAACATGAAGAACATGAAGAAGAACATGAGGAACATGAAGAAGAACATGAAGAACATGAAGAACATGAAGAAGAACATGAAGAACATGAAGAAGAACATGAAGAACATGAAGAAGAACATGAAGAACATGAAGAAGAACATGAAGAACATGAAGAAGAACATGAAGAACATGAAGAAGAACATGAAGAAGAACATGAAGGAACATGAAGAACATGAAGAAGAACATGAAGAAGAACATGAGAAGAACATGAAGAAGAACATGAAGAACATGAAGAAGAACATGAAGAACATGAAGAAGAACATGAAGAACATGAAGAAGAACATGAAGAAGAACATGAGGAACATGAAGAACATAAAGAACATGAAGAAGAACATGAGGAACATGAAGAACATGAAGAAGAACATAAAGAACATGAAGAAGAACATGAGGAACATGAAGAAAAACATGAAGAAGAACATGAAGAAGAACATGAAGAACATGAAGAAGAACATGAGGAACATGAAGAACATGAAGAACATGAAGAACAGAAGAACATGAAAGAAGAAACATGAAGAACATGAAGAAGAACATGAAGAACATGAAGAAGAACATGAGAACATGAAAGAAGAACATGAAGAACATGAAGAAGAACATGAAGAACATGAAGAACATGAAGAACATGAAGAAGAACATGAAGAACATGAAGAAGAACATGAGGAACATGAAGAAGAACATGAAGAACATGAAGAACATGAAGAAGAACATGAAGAAGAACATGAAGAACATGAAGAAGAACATGAGGAACATGAAGAACATGAAGAAGAACATGAAGAACATGAAGAAGAACATGAAGAACATGAAGAAGAACATGAAGAACATGAAGAAGAACATGAGGAACATGAAGAAGAACATGAAGAAGAACATGAAGAAGAACATGAAGAACATGAAGAAGAACATGAAGAAGAACATGAAGAACATAAAGAAGAACATGAGAAAGAACATGAAGAACATGAAGAAGAACATGAAGAACATGAAGAAGAACATGAAGAACATAAAGAAGAAGATGAGAAAGAACATGAAGAACATGAAGAAGAACATGAAGAACATGAAGAACATGAAGAAGAACATGAGGAACATGAAGAACATGAAGAAGAACATGAAGAACATGAAGAAGAACATGAAGAACATGAAGAAGAACATGAGGAACATGAAGAAGAACATGAAGAACATGAAGAAGAACATGAAGAAGAACATGAAGAAGAACTGAAGAACATAAGGAACATGAAGAACATGAAGAAGAACATGAAGAACAAGAACATGAAGAACATGACCAGACCAGGACCAGGACACAACACCAGGACCACAACACCAGGACCACAACACCACCAGGACCACAACACCAGGACCACAACACCAGGACCACACCACCACCAGGACCACAACACCAGGACCACAACACCAGGACCACACTACCACCAGGACCACAACACCAGGACCACACCACCAGGACCACAACACCAGGACCACACACACCACCAGGACACACACCACCAGGACACACAACCACCAGGACCACACACACCACACACACCAGGACCACCAACACCACCAGGACCACACACCACCAGGACCACCACCACCAGGACCCACACCACCAGGACCACAACACACCAGGACCACAACACCAGGACCACCAACACCACCAGGACCAGGACCACACACCACCAGGACCACAACACCACCAGGACCACCAACACCACCAGGACCACACCACCACCAGGACACAACACCACCAGGACCACAACACCACCAGGACCACACCACCACCAGGACCACACCACCAGGACCACAACACCACCAGGACCACAACACCAGGACCACAACACACCAGGACCACAACACCACCAGGACCACAACACCACCAGGACCACAACACCAGGACCACAACACCACCAGGACCACAACACCACCAGGACCACAACACCACCAGGACCACAACACACCAGGACCACAACACCAGGACCACAACACCACCAGGACCACACCACACCAGGACCACAACACCACCAGGACCACAACACCACCAGGACCACACCAACACCACCAGGACCACAACACCACCAGGACACCACACACACCAGGACACAACACCAGGACCACAACACCACCAGGACACCACACAACACACCAGGACCACACCACCACCAGGACCACACCACCAGGACCACAACCACCAGGACCACAACACCACCAGGACCACCACACACCACCAGGACCACCAACCACCACCAGGACCACCACCACCACCAGGACCACAACACCACCAGGACCACAACACACCAGGACCACAACACCAGGACCAACACACCAGGACCACAAACACCAGGACCACACACACCACCAGGACCACACACCAGGACCACACCACCAGGACCACAACACCACCAGGACACCAACCAACCACCACCAGGACCACACCACAGGACCACAACACCACCAGGACCACCAACACCACCAGGACCACACCACCAGGACCACCAGGACACCACCAGGACCACAGGACCACACCACCACCAGGACCACAACACCACCAGGACCACAAAACCACCAGGACCACAACACCACCAGGACCACACCACCACCAGGACCACACCACCAGGACCACCACAGGACCACACCACCAGGACCACAACACCAGGACCACCACCACCAGGACCACCAGGACACCACACCACCAGGACCACAACACCAGGACCACAACACCACCAGGCACACACCAGGACCACCACCACCAGGACACACCACCAGGACCACACACCACCAGGACCACCACACACCACCAGGACCACAACACCACCAGGACCACACCACCACCAGGACCACAACACCAGGACCACACCACCAGGACCACACCACCAGGACCACAACACCACCAGGACCACAACACCAGGACCACAACACCACCAGGACCACAACACCACCAGGACACAACCACCAGACCACAACACCCACAACACCACCAGGACCACAACACCACCAGGACCACAACACCACCAGGACCACAACACCACCAGGACCACACCACCACCAGGACCACACACACCAGGACCACAACACCAGGACCACAACACCACCAGGACCACAACACCACCAGGACCACACCACCACCAGGACAACACCACCAGGACCACAACACACCAGGACCACACACCACCAGGACCACAAACACCACAGGACACCAACACCAGGACCACAACCACCACCAGGACCACCAGGACCACACCACCACCAGGACCACCACAACACCACCAGGACACACACCAGGACCACAACACCACCAGGACCACAACACCACCAGGACCACAACACCACCAGGACCACACCACCACCAGGACCACACACACCAGGACCACAACACCACCAGGACCACACCACCACCAGGACCACAACACCACCAGGACCACCACAGGACCACAACACCAGGACCACCAACACCACCAGGACCACAACACCACCAGGACAACACACCACCACCACCAGGACCACAACACCACCAGGACCACCAACCACAACACACCAGGACCACACACACCAGGACCACCAACACCACCAGGACCACAACACCACCAGGACCACAACACCACCAGGACACACCACCACCAGGACCACCACCAGGACCACAACACCACCAGGACCACACCACCAGGACCACAACACCACCAGGACCACAACACCACCAGGACCACACACCACCAGGACCACACACACCAGGCACCACCACCAGGACCACAACACACCACCAGACCACAACACCACCAGGACCACAACACCACCAGGACCACAACCACCACCAGGACCACCACCACCACCAGGACCACACACCAGGACACACCACACCAGGACCACAACACCACCAGGACCACAACACCACCAGGACCACACCACCAGGACCACACCACACACAGACCACACACCACCAGGACCACAACACCACCAGGACCACAACACCAGGACCACAACACCACCAGGACCACACCACCACCAGGACCACAACACCAGGACCACAACCACCACCAGACCACAACACCACCAGGACCCAACACCACCAGGACCACACCACCACCAGGACCACCACCACCACACCACCAGGACCACAACACCACCAGGACCACAACACCAGGACCACAACACCACCAGGACCACAACACCACCAGGACCACAACACCACCAGGACCACAACACCAGGACCACAACACCACCAGGACCACAACACCACCAGGACCACAACACCACCAGCACCAACCACCACCAGGACACACACCACCAGGACCACAACACCACCAGGACCACACACCACCAGGACCACACACCACCAGGACCACACCACCAGGACCACAACACCACCAGGACCACAACACCACCAGGACCACAACACCACCAGGACCGGCACCAGGAGTCACAGTGTTTCACTTCTCACCTCACAGTCGCTGGGTTTGAACTTCTGCAGCGTGTGGATCAGCAGCACGATGTTGAAGGGGGCGTGGCATAAGATGAACACCAGCGCCACCATCAGGACCAGGCGGATGGCGCGCTCTCTCCTGAAGCCCCGCCCCTTGCCGCTCAGGCCCCGCCCCTTCAGCAGCGTCGCCACAATGGAGCCGTAACAGAAGCTCATGACGATGAGCGGAAGCAGAAACCCCGCCGTGATCTGCACCACCGGCAACGCCGTCTTGACTGAGTACGCCTCGATGTGGTCAGGCAGCCGCAGGGCGCACACCATGGGAGTGGACTGAGGAGAGAGAACACACACCGTCAGAGGGGGAGGAGTCAGAGGGGGAGGAGTCAGAGGGGGAGGAGTCAGAGGTGGAACAAACTTTACTTCAGCAGATCTCACCTGGTCCGAGGTCTGGTTCAGAGCCTCCAACCCCATCACCTCGTGGTGCTTGGGCACGTAGCTCTCGTAGAAGATGAAGTTGGGCAGACTGAGCAGTACTGCACAGAACCACACGAGGGCGCACACGAGGTGGCGTGGCGCCTGTGAGCTCGCACTGAGCCGTCTGCGCGCGTGCACGACGGCCGCGTATCGGTCCGCGCTCACCGCCGCCAGCAGCAGGGCGGCGCCGTAGAAACTCATGCTGTACCCGCCCCTCAACATCTTACACCCCGCCCCCCCGTCTGACCACCCCCCCAGTTCCATCACCACCAAACCCGGCAAGACCAGGACTATAACCAGATCTGCCAGGGCCAAGTGCAGGAGCAGCACCTGCAAGACAAAAGACAGGAGCAGTGAGGACCAGACTAGACCAGAGGCAGAACCACACCTGAGTCCGGTTCCACTCAAAGTCCGGACTTCAGGTGTGAATAAAGACGAGATCTGATCCAAACGGACCCAGAACCACAAAGGGAACGAGCACGAGCAGAAATGACAGACATGCACACATGGAGGGTGGGGGGGAGGGTGAGGGTGGGTACCTGGGTGATGGGGGTGGGGTACCTGGTGATGGGGATGGGGTTGGGGTATGGCGGGACCCAGAACCACTGGGGATGGAGGGGACCTGGGTGATGGAGGGTGGGGTACCTGGGTGATGGAGGGTGGGGTACCTGGGTGATGGAGGGTTTGGGGGGTGGGGTACCTGGGTGATGGAGGGTGGGGTACCAGGGTGGGGTAGGGGGTGATGGAGGGTGGGGTACCTGGGTGATGGAGGTGGGGTACCTGGGTGATGGAGGTTTGGGGGGTGGGTACCTGGGTGATGGAGGGTGGGGGGGGTACCTGGGTGGAGGGTTTGGGGGTGGGGTGGGTGTGATGGGAGGGTGGGGGTGGGGTACTGGGTGATGGGTGGGGGGTTTGGGGGTGGGTACCTGGGTGTGGAGGGTGGGGGGGGGTTCTGGGGGTGATGGGGGGGTGGGTACCTGGGTGATGGAGGGTTTGGGGGTGGGGTACCTGGGGATGGAGGGTGGGGTACCTGGGTGATGGAGGGTGGGGGTACCTGGGTGATGGGGGGTGGGGTACCTGGGTGATGGAGGGTGGGGGTGGGTATCTGGGTGATGGGTGGGGGGGTGGGTACCTGGTGATGGAGGGTGGGGGTGGGGTACCTGGGTGATGGATGGAGGGTGGGGTGGGTATCTGGGTGATGGAGGTGGGGTACCTGGGTGATGGAGGGTGGGGTACTGGGGATGAGGGTGGGTACCTGGGTGATGGAGGGTGGGGTACCTGGGTGATGGGGGTGGGGTACCTGGGTGATGGAGGGTTTGGGGGTGGGGTGATGGGGGTGGGGTACCTGGGTGATGGAGGGTTTGGGGGCGCAGTACAGTGGGACGAGCATGAGGCAGTTCCCGATCAGACCCAGGACACAGATCACAGAGTGGACGTACGGACCCAGGACCAGGACCAGGCTCCGGTTCTGGACGGTGTCACACAAACCCTCCCACGTGCCGTTGTAGTAGTCTGAGTAGTCCACTTCCTCCCCGTAGTCCTCCAGAGGGTCCAGAGTGTCCAGAGTCTGGAACAAGGCCAGATCCAGGGAGGACATCTGAGGATCACAGACAAATAAGGACTACACCAGGACTGAACCAGGACTGAACCACGACTGCTGGTTCAGTCTGACCCAGACTAAACCTAAATTAAACCAGAACTAAACCAAGCCTCTGCTCCAGCCACAGTCTCCCTGGAGACCCTCTGGACCTGGTTCAGTCCTGGTTTAGACGATGATTCGGTCTGACTGGAGTGTGGTGTTCCCCAAGGCTCAATTTTAGGTCCAACCCTTTTTAATCTTTACACGCTGCCACTCGGACACAGTGTGACGTTCAAAGCTCTGCTGATGATACCGAGCTCGATATCACCGTGTCTCCTGATGACCTGAGCCCGATCGATTCCCTTTAAACTGCAGTTTAGATTTTAAGTCCCGGATGGCAGCAAACTTCCTCCAGCTCAACCAGAGTAAAACCGAGGTTTTAATTATTGGTCCTGAAGCTCAGAGTTAAGCTCCAAACCTCCTCACTGGACCCTGTGGGAGGGTCAGAAGTTTAGGAGTTATTCTGGATAATGAGCTCAGCTTTGAGCCGCACATCAGGTCCATCACTAAATCTGATTCTATCATTTAAAAAATATTGTCAGAGTCAGAACATTTCTCTCTTGAGCCAGTGCAGAGACTTTTACTTTTATTACAAACTGTGTTGATGTTCTCCTTTCTGATCTTCCACAGAAAACTACAGCTCCTCAAAACTCTGCAGCTCCTCAAAACGTTAAAACATTTTAAATTCTTGTATTGTTTTCTAAATCTCTAAACTCTCTTAGTCGTGTTTATTTCTCTGATCTGTTTTTATCACGAGCCTCTCGGACTCTCAGCTCCTCACGTCTCGTCTTCAACTGTCCCAAGAGTCAAACTAAAACTCAACACTCAGTTTTTACAGAACAGTCGACCTGAGAGACCTGAGGACCCGAGACACACAAGGACCTGAGGGACCCGAGGGCTGCTGCGAGTTTTCAGATTTTTAAAAGTAAACTCAAAACTTTTACTCATTTTAAATAAAATTCTTATTATTTGAATTAGTCTCCATTTAATTGTGTCTCTCCATTTTTTAAATCTTATTTTTATTTTTTGTATTTTTGCTGTGACTTTTGGAGTTTGATGTTTGATGTTTGTGTTTAAACTCCGGGCGGCGCTGTTGGTTTTTCATCCTCGTCATGTTCGTGTTTCAGCTGAAGCTTTTTGTTCCACATTTCAAGTTTATGAAAAGAGCTGAACAAGGAAAGTTTGATTGATGCGTCTGGTTGGTGCCAGGTTCAGGTTCAAGAGCCGTGAGAGTCCGGGTTTAGTTCTGGTGTAGTTCTTGGTGGTTTGTGGTCTGACCCAGTTACTACATAAGTACATGATTATGAAGTACTGAATACTGCAAAAGTACATGCACCAAACCAGGTCACTGCAAAGTGTAGCAGCCTCCACCGCACCGAAACCAGGTCTGAACCAGGTCTGAACCAGGTCTGAACCAGGTCTAGATCTGGTCTTAGTGGTTTGGATCGGGTAAAAGATAAAGATAAAGATAAAGATAAGGATAAGGATAAGGAGCTCTGTGTAATATTTCTGGTGAAAGTTCTGCTTGTTTCCATGGAGACGTTACAGCGCTGGAAGGTTCCGCAGTAAAAACCCTGAAACTCACCTGAACTAAGTCACATCAGACCGACTCGCCTCTCCACAGACCTGACCTGCCTCGTCTGAGTTTCTCCAGAAGGAACAAAAGCAAAGAAATAATATCTCCACGGAGACGAGCACCTCCACCCGAAAAGTTACACAGCAGCTTTAGAATAAGAGCAAATACACCAAGTACTACGAGTATTTGCAGTAGGAACAATAGCAGAAGTAGAAGTAGAAGTAGTAGTAGTATTTATAGTATTCGTAGTATTTACAGTAGCAGTATTTCCGGTGTGGAGACCTTTAAACACAATCACTTCACTGACAACAAAAGCAGAAATATGAAGTTCCTCTCAGAGACTTCCTCAGAACCAGGACTAAACCAGGTCTAAACCAGGTCTAAACCAGGTCTAAACCAGGTCTAAACCAGGACTAAACCAGGTCTAAACCAGGACTAAACCAGGTCTAAACCAGGACTAAACCAGGTCTAAACCAGGACTAAACCAGGTCTAAACCAGTCTAAACCAGGACTAAAAAAACCAGGTCTAAACCAGGACTAAACCAGGTCTAAACCAGGACTAAACCAGGTCTGCTAAACCAGGTCTAAAACCAGGACTAAACCAGGTCTAAACCAGGACTAAACCAGGCCAGGTCTAAACCAGGACTAAACCAGGAGGTCTAAACCAGGACTAAACCAGGTCTTAAACCAGGACTAAACCAGGTCTAAACCAGGACTGAACCAGGACTAAACCAGGATCTAAACCAGAAGGTCTAAACCAGACTAAACCAGGTCTAAACCAGGACTAAACCAGGTCTGAAACAGGTCTAAACCAGGACTAAACCAGTCTAAACCAGGTCTAAACCAGGTCTAAACCAGGACTAAACCAGGACTAAACCAGGCCACTAAACCAGGTCTAGTCTGAACCAGGACTAAACCAGGTCTAAACCAGGACTAAACCAGGACTAACCAGGACTAACCAGGACTAAACCAGGTCTAAACCAGGACTAAACCAGGTCTAAACCAGGTCTGAACCAGGAACCAAGGACTAAGACTAAACCAGGACTATTGGTCCTGATTTGGTGGTCTAACCAGGTAAACCAAAACCAGGTCTAAACCGGTCTAAACCAGGACTAAACCAGGTCTAAACCAGGACTAAACTCTAAACCAAGGTCTAAACCAGGTCTAAAACCAGGACTAAACCAGGATAAACCAGGTAGGACTAAAACCAGGTCCAGGCTAAACCAGGACTAAACCAGGACTAACCAGGCTAAACCAGGACTAAACCAGGTCTAAACCAGGAACGGAAACCAGGTCTAAACCAGGACTAAACCAGGTCTAAACCAGACTAACCAGGTCCTAAACCAGGACTAAACCAGGACTGAACCAGGTCTAAACAGGTCTAAACCAGGGACTAAACCAGGTCTAAACCAGGTCTAAACCAGGTCTAAACCAGGACTAAACCAGGTCTAAAACCAGGTAAACCAGGTCTAAACCAGGTCTGGTCTAACCAGGTCTAAACCAGGTCTAAACCAAAACTAAACAGGACTAAACCAGGTCTAACCAGGTCTAAACAGTCTAAACCAGGACTAAAACCAGGAACTAAACCAGGACTAAACCAGAAAACCAGGTCTAAACCAGGACAAACCTAAACCAAAACCAGGACTAAACCAGGACTAAACCAGGACTGAACCAGGTCTAAACCAGGACTAACCAGGACTAAACCAGGTCAGGACTAAACAGGACTAAACCAGGTCCCAGGACTAAACCAGGTCCTTAAACCAGGACTAAAGGACAGGACTAAACCAGGTCTAACCAGGTCTAAACCAGAACGAACTAAACCAGGTCTAAACCAGGTCTAAACCAGGACCAAACCAGGTCTAAACCAGGACTAAACCAGGACTGAACCAGGTCTAAACCAGGTCTGAACCAGGACTAAACCAGGTCTAAACCAGGACTAAAACAGGACTAAACCAGGACTAAACCAGGTCTGAACCAGGTCTAAACCAGGTCTGAACCAGGTCTAAACCAGGACTAAACCAGGTCTAAACCAGGTCTGAACCAGGTCTAAACCAGGACTAAATCAGGACTAAACCAAGACTAAAACAGGTCTAAACTAGGACTGAAACCAGGACTGAACCAGGACTAAACAAGGACTGAACTGGGAATAAACCAGGTCTCAGTGCTGTTATGATCTGAATCACACCTGAATATTCCACTGAAGTCACCTGGTCTAGACCCAGGTCCAGACTCAACCTGGTTCAGTCCTGGTTCAGTCCTGGTTCAGTCCTGGTTTCAGTCCTGGTTCAGTCCTGGTTCAGTCCTGGTTCAGAGCAGAGTAAAAGAGGAGCTCACCTTGTGGCGTTCAGGAGTCGAGTGAAGCTGTAGACGTTTGTTTCCTCTCACACCCACACGGTGACATCACAAATACACGACTGATTCACAAGATTTTAAACATGAACAAATCAAACGTTTCAGATTTAATCAAACAGAATCTAAAATCTAAAACCACATGAAACAGCAGAACTCGAGCTGAAACCCAAACTCAAACTCAAACCCAAACCCAAAGCCACGAGTTTTTATGATGATGGAACCAAAATGGATCAACTGAGACGCCCGGGTCTGCACCTGCCCAAGTCCACCTGCCAAAACTGCACCTGCCCAAGTCCACCTGCCAAAACTGCACCTGCCCAAGTCCACCTGCCAAAACTGCACCTGCCCCAAACCTGCCAAAACTGCACCTGCCCAAGTCCACCTGCCAAAGACCTGCCCCCACCTGCCAAAACTGCACCTGCCCAAGTCCACCTGCCAAAACTGCACCTGCCCAAGTCCACCTGCCAAAACTGCACCTGCCAAGTCCACCTGCCAAAACTGCACCTGCCCAAGTCCACCTGCCAAAACTGCACCTGCCCACCTGCCAAAACTCAGTCCACCTGCCAAAACTGCACCTGCCCAAGTCCACCTGCCAAAACTGCACCTGCCCAAGTCCACCTGCCAAAACCGCACCTGCCCAAGTCCACCTGCCTGAACTGCACCCGCCCAAGTCCACCTGCCAAAGCAGCACCTGCCTGAACCACCCCTGCCAAAACTGCACCTGCCTGAACTGCACCTGCCCTCGTCCTCATCCTGGTGGACATGGACATGGACGCGGACATGGACGTGGACATGGACATGAACATGGACGCGGACATGGAGGTGGACATGGACATGGACATGGACATGACGTGGACGATGAACATGGACATGACGTGGACATGGACGTGGACATGGACATGGACGTGGACATGGACATGGACATGGACGTGGACATGGACGTGACATGGACGTGGACGTGGACATGAACATGAACGTGACGTGGACGTGTGAACGTGACGTGTGGACGTGGACATGAATGGACGTGGACATGGACGGGACTGGACTGGACATGGACATGGACGTGGACATGGACTGGACGTGGACAACATGAACATGGACGATGGACGTGGACGTGACGTGGACATGGACGTGGACATGGACGTGGACGTGGACATGGACATGGACATGGACATGGACATGGACATGGACGTGGACGTGGACATGACATGGACATGGACGTGGACATGGACATGGACATGGACGTGGACGTGTGTGGAACAGAGTTCCAGCTGCATCATGTGATTCTGTGACTTTTGGCTGAATCCAAATCCACTTTTAAATCTAAATAAATAAAAACACAGAAGGAAATAAAATAAAATCCAAAACCTCCGAATCATCATCACACTTTATTATAAATTAGAAAAATAAAATACAAACAGTCACATACAGGATATTTACATCCAGACCCGGCCCAGACTCGATCCAGACCCGGTCCAGAGGCGGCCCAGACCCGGTCCAGACCCGGCCCAGACCCGGTCCAGACCCGGCCCAGACCCGGCCAGACCCGACCAGACGGTCCAGAGGCGGCCCAGACCTGGTCCAGACCCGCCGGCCCAGACCCCCGGTCCAGACCCGGACCCAGCCAGGATGGCCCAGACCCGGTCCAGACCCGGTCCAGACGGCCAGACCCGGCCAGAGGCGGCCCAGACCCGGTCCAGACCCGGCCAGAGGCGGCCCAGACCTGGTCCAGACCGTCCAGACCCGGTCCAGAGGCGGCCCAAACCCGGTCCAGACCCGGTCCAGAGGCGGCCCAGACCTGGTCCAGACCCGGTCCAGGGCCCCAGACCGGCCGACCGGTCCAGACCCGGTCCAGAGGCCGGCCCAGAGGTCCAGGTTCCAGAGGTGGTCTATGGGACGTCCTCCATGTAGTCTGCTGTGTGACTGAGCTGAGACACACTCAGGTCCTGTGTCGTCTCATCAAACTGTGAAAAACAAAACAAACACAAGTCAAACATCCACAGGTGAAACACACACCGCTCCTACAGGGGGCGCTGTTTAGAATCTGAGTGCAGTGGGGGCGGGGCTAGGTGGGAGGGGCAGTGCAGTGGGGGGGGGCTAGGTGGGGTGGCAGTGCAGTGGGGCGGGCTAGGTGGGAGGGATGGGCAATTATTTTTAGGATTAGAAACAGAAAATATTGTAGATGCCAAAATGCTTAACTCAGATCGGCAGAGTACGAATTGTATTTCTTTATAAAAAAAAAAAAAAAAAAAAACAAAAAGCGGTAAATAGTTTTGACGAGCTGAGAAGAGTTGACGTTCTGACTCAGCGATGAAGTGAAGCGGACGAACAAAAAACGTAAACAAAACTAAATAAATCAATAAAAGCAGCGCAGTTTTGGTCCAGGCCTGAGCTCAAATGATCAAATATGTTTGTTTTTTTTGTTTTTTTTGTGATTCCAAATGAGCTTAAAGGGGCCGGACAGAGTCGACCAGAGGACCGAGTGTGGACCCGGTCTGGTCTGGTCTGGGGGAGGGGCTGTGCAGTGGGGGCGGGGCTAGGTGGGAGGGGGGTTCACCTTGTCACTGGGCTCTGGTCCCTCGATGGAAACTTCCTCAATCTCCTCCCCAATGCTCAGCTCACTGTGAGAGAAAGAGAGAAGAGAAAGAAGAGAAAGAAGAGAGGGTGAGGAGGAGTGAGGAGAAGAGGAGAGAGGGAGGAGGAAGAGGAGAGAGGGAGGAGAAAGAGGAGAGAGGGAGGGAGAAGAGGAGAGAGGGAGGAGAAGAGGAGAGAAGAGGGAGAGAGGAGAGGAGAGAGAGGAGAGAGAGAGAGGAGGAGGAAGAGGAGGAGGAGAGAGGAGGAGGAGAGAGGAGGAGAAGAGGAGGAGAGAGAGGAGGAGAGAGGAGAGAGGAGAGGAGGAGAGGAGAGGAGAGAGAGAGAGAGAAGAGGGAGAGAGGAGGAGAAGAGAGAGAGAGAGAGAGAAGAGGAGAGAGGGAGGAGAAGAGGAGAGAGAGGGAGGAAGAGGAGAGAGAGAGGAGGAGAGGAGGAGAGAGGAGGAGAGGAGAGGGAGAGAGGAGAGAGAAGAGGAGGAGAGGAGAAGGAGGGAGAGGAGAGGAGAGAGGGAGGGAAGAGGAGAGAGGGAGAAGAGGAGAGAGGGAGGAGGAAGAGGAGAGAGAGGAAGAAGAGGAGGAGAGGAGAGAGAAGAGAGGAGGGAGGAGAAGAAAGGGAAGAGGAGGAGAAATGAGGAAGAGGAGAGAGGGAGGAGAAGAAGAGAGAGAGGAGGAGAGAGGAGAGAGGGAGGAGAAGAGGAGAGAGGGAGGAGAAGAGAGGAAGAGGAGAGAGGGAGGAGAAGAGGAGAGAGGGAGGAGAAGAGGAGAGAGGGAGGAGAAGAGAGAGGAGGAAGAGAGAGAGAGGGAGGAGAAGAGGAGAGAGGGAGGAGAAGAGGAGAGAGGGAGGAGAAGAGGAGGAGGGGTCTGACCTGTTAAAATCGTCGTCATACTCCACATCTTCATCTGGAAAACACAAAACTCTGTTACAGATCCGGTCTAGACCCGGTCCAGTCCGGGTCCAGACCCTGTCCAGTCCCGGTCCAGTCCGGGTCCAGACCCGTCCAGTCCAGTCCCGGGTTCCAGTCCCGGTCCAGTCCGGGTCCAGACCCGGTCCAGTCCAGTCCCGGTCCAGTCCGGTCCAGTCCCTGTCCAGACCCGGTCCAGTCTCGGTCCAGGATCTTACCTAAACGAGATCCACTTCTGTCGCTCAGAGGCCTGGAGTCCTTTGGTCCTTTTACTTTTGACACTCCTGGAAAATAATAAAACAAGATCTAAACCAGGTCTAAACCAGGGTCTAAACCAGGACTAAACCAAGTCTAAACCAGGACTAAACCAGGACTAAACCAGGGGACTAAAACCAGGACTAAACCAAGTCTAAACCAGGGACTAAACCAGGACTAAACCAGGAAACCAGTCTAAACCAGGACTAAACCAGGACTAAACCAGGACTAAACCAGTCTAAAACCAAGTCTAAACCAGGACTAAACCAAGTCTAAACCAGACTAAACCAGGACTAAACCAGGTCTAAACCAGGACTAAACCAGGACTAAACCAGGACTAAACCAGGACTAAACCAGGACTAAACCAAGTCTAAACCAGGACTAAACCAGGACTAAACCAAGTCTAAACCAGGACTAAACCAGGACCGGGTAAACCAGGTCTAAACCAGGTTTCAGGACTGACCTGTGCGACTTGGTTCTGAGGAGCTGCTTCGTCCCAGAGACAGAGACGGGACCGGACTCTCGGGTTTCCTAGAAAAGATTAAAACCGGATCAGACCCAGACCAGGACCTAGACCAGGACCTAGACCAGGACCCAGACCAGGACCCAGATAAAACCACACAGAAAAGAAAAGAAAAGAACTTGAGAGTTTGGAGAAAAGAGAGAAAAAAATCTCACCTGACGTCATCTGCAGGAGCCCCGAGAACAGACAGACTACCACAGAAGAGGAGAGAACGAGAAGAGAGGAGAGAGGAGAGGAGGAGAGGAGGAGAGGTGGAGAGAGAGGAGAGGAGAGGAGAGAGGAGGAGAGGAGAGAGGAGAGGAGAGAGAGAGAGAGAGGAGGAGGAGGAGGAGAGAGGAGAGAGAGAGGAGAGGAGGAGAGAGGAGAGAGAGAGGAGGAGGAGGAGGAGAGAGGAGGAGGAGGAGGAGAGAGGAGGAGGAGGAGAGGAGGAGAGAGAGAGAGGAGAGAGGAGGAGAGGAGGAGGAGAGGAGGAGGAGGAGGAGGAGGAGAGAGGAGAGGAGGAGAGAGAGGAGGAGGAGAGGAGGAGGAGAGGAAGAGGAAAAAAAGGAGAGGAGGTTAGGTGCAAAGTGAAGTCTGAACGCAGGAATGTGATTGGACGAGACTCACTCGCTCAAACTCTTGTCCCGCCTCAAAACCAGAACAGGACCAGAATCTTCAGAGCTGAGAGACAGAAGGAAACCAGGACTAGACCAGGACTAGGACCAGGACAGGACCAGGACTAGACCAGGACTAGACCAGGACTAGACCAGGACTAGACCAGGACTAGGGTAAGAAGGTAGGTGAAGGAAAAAGGCTGTAACCGGGACTAAACCAGGTCTAAACCAGGTCTAAACCAGGATGAAGGTAGGCTGGAGGAGTTCAGAGTTAGGAGATGGGGGTAGGAAGTTGGAAGTAGGAGTTAGGAGGTAGGAGGTAGATTTTAGGAGTTAGGAAGTAGGTTTTAGGAGGTAAGAGTTAGGACTTAGGGGGTAGGAGGTAGGACTCACCAGCTGTAGGTTTTAGGGGGTAGGAGGTAGGAGTTAGGTTTTTAGGAGGTAGGATTCACCAGCCGTAGGTTTTAAGGGTAGGAGTAGGAGTTAGAAGGTAGTCACCAGCCATAGGTTTTAGGAGGTAGGATTAGGGGTAGTTTTTAGGGGGTAGGAGTTAGGAGTTAGGTTTTAGGGGGAGGACTCACCAGGCATAGGTTTTAGGGGTAGGAGGTAGGAGTTAGGAGGTAGGACTCACCAGCCATAGGTTTTAGGGGGTAGGAGTTAGGAGGTAGTTTCCAGAGGGTAGGAGTTAGGCAGTAGGAGTTAGGAGTTAGGAGGTAGGAGGTAGGACTCACCAGCCGTAGGTTTTAAGGGGTAGGAGTTAGGAGTTAGGTTTTAGGAGGTAGGACTCACCAGCCATAGGTTTTAGGGGGTAGGAGTTAGGAGGTAGTTTTCCAGAGGGTAGGAGTTAGGCAGTAGGAGTTAGGAGTTAGGAGGTAGGACTCACCAGCCGTAGGTTTTCTGAGGCGCGGGCAGAGGATCGTCGAAAAACGAGTCTCCGTCGTCGACGTCGTCCAGGTCCAGGTCCCTCGGAGGTTCTGGGTTTACACCGAGCTCCTTCTTCAGACCAGAGTCCCGGGTCAGACCAGAGTCCCGGGTCAGACCAGAGTCCCGGGTCAGACCAGGGTCCAGACCCGAGTCCCCTTTGACCTCAGAGCCCAGAGTGTGTGGAGCAGAGGGTTTCTCCAAGTCTTGATCCTGTCCACACGCCTCCACCTGAGACACACACATACAGTGTATATATATATATATATATATATATATTATATATATATATATATATATATATATATATATATATATATATATATATATTATATATATATATATATATATAAAGTAGAATAATACTGTTATATATGATCATTTGTAAATCATCAGAGTTTGATTTTAAAAATATTTTCATGTGACTCACCACAGATGAACTGAAGGAAAACAAACCCCGATACAAGAGCAGAAGAGTCTCCCACGTGCACTCTGACAACACACACACACACACGAGTTATACACACACTCTGACAACACACACACACACACAGAGTTATACACACACTCTGACAACACACACACACACACACAGAGTTATACACACACTCTGACAACACACACACACACACAGAGTTATACACACACCTGACAACACACACACACACACACAGAGTTATACACACACTCTGACAACACACACACACACACACACAGAGTTATACACACACTCTGACAACACACACACACACACAGAGTTATACACACACTCTGACAACACACACACACACACACACAGAGTTATACACACACTCTGACAACACACACACACACACACAGAGTTATACACACACTCTGACACCACACACACACACACACACAGAGTTATACACACACTCTGACAACACACACACACACACACACAGAGTTATAACACACACTCTGACAACACACACACACACACACACAGAGTTATACACACACTCTGACACACACACACACACACACACACACTCAACACACACACACACACACAGAGTTATACACACACACTGACAACACACACACACACACACACACAGAGTTATACACACATCACAACACACACACA